GGAGAGAGAGAGAGAGAGAGAGAGAGAGAGAGAGAGAGAGAGAGAGAGAGAGAGAGAGAGAGAGAGAGAGAGAGACTCATGTTTAGCTACCTTTATTTTTTCCCATTTAAAAAAAAAAATGTGTCTGGGGGCTGGAAAAATGGCTCAGGGGTTAAGAGCTCTGGCTCTGGCTGCTCTTCCAGAAGACCCACGTTCAATTGCCTGGACCCACGTGGCAGCTCACAACTGTTATCCAACTCCAAGTCATTTGAGACTCTCCCACAGACATATGGGCAGGCAAAACACCGATGCACATAAAATAATTTTGTTTTCGAGGCAGGGTTTCTCTGTGCAGTCTTAGCTGTCTTGGAACTCATTTTGTAAACCAGGCTGGCCTCAAACTCGCAGAGATCTGCCTGCCTCTGCCTCCTGAGTGCTGGGATTAAAGGTACGAACCACCACCACCCCGCTATTAAAAAAAAAAAAAAAAAAATTAATGTGTTTCCGTGAGTCTTTCTGTGGAGGCCGGAAGTGGGCATCAGATCTGCTGGATTGAGTCACAGATGGTTTGATTGTAAGCCATCACTTGAGTGCTGAGAATCAACCCCAGGTGCTCTGGATGCGCAGCCAGTGCTCTTAACTGCTGAGCCATCTCCCCAGCACCTTAGCTACTAACTTTCTTGTGTAGCTCAGAACCACCTGCCTAGGGATGGTGCTGCTAACGGCAGTCTGGACTGTCTTGTATAAAGATTCACACAGAGAGACATGTCCACATGCCAATCTCATTTGTTAATTCCTCTCGAGGATCTCCTCTCACATGACTCTTGGCTGTGTCATGTTGACAAAGAAAGGTAAGTAGATATCTTAGTTATTCTTCCTGTGAAGAGACGCCATGACCAAGGTAACTTACAAAAGAAAATGTTTACTGACGCTCATGGTTCTAGAGGTCCATCCATGATCATTGTGATGGCTGTAAGGATTCAGGCATTACGCTGGCCTGCCCCTGTCATCTGGCAAAATGCACTCAGGCAGTACTCTGGTCAGCCCAGGGGTCCATAAGTACACAAAGGACCCCTTTAAAAGACAAGCTCCAGGTTCAGGAGGTCTGAGTTGGTCCAATGCTTGGTTTCCCAGCTATTAGTCTGGGGGTAGTCCAAGAGACCTCTGACAGTGAAACCAGGATGTATCCCATGGAGAGATAGTCCCTTAGCTTAGAGGCCGGAGAGAGGGCCTAGGCCCTACTCCCAAATGACAGATTTTGATGATCCCTCCTGGAAGGCATCACCCTCCCTGTGGAGTGGGGGGTGGAATGAGAGGGGTGTCAGGGGACATGGGAGGGAGGGAGAGGGAACTGGGATCGATATGTGAAATAATAGAATAAAATATTGAAAAAACAATAAAAGACAGGCCCCCACCCACTTACTCTCTCTTTTCCAGCCCTCTTCCCGATGTCCCCCTGGGGCAGACAGGACTTTTTCTGTCTCCATCTTCTCTCTCTGTGTCTCTGTCTCTTTACCTCCCCTCCATAAAACTCAACTTAAACTCTGCCTGCCTGTGGCATTTGTCCCCTGCCTCCGTCACCCTCCCCTGCCTTGTAATCCGCCAAGGTCTCAAGCTTTATTCTAACAGCGGGGAGCATGGCGGGAAGCAGACAGTCACTGGACTGATGGTGAAGAGCTTACACCCATCCTGATCTGCAAGCTGGAGGCAGAGAACAAACTGCAATGTTCTGGGCTTTTGAAATGTCACAGCCCACCCTTAGTGACCTCTCCCCCAACAAGGCCACAACTTAATCCTTCCCAGACAGTTCCACCAACAGGGGACCAAGCATCCAGGCATAGGAACCTAGGGGGCCATTCTCATTCAAACCACCGCACTAGGTCACATGCCAAATGAAGGAAATCATTCACAGAGCCCACATATTAGATACTTTAATTAACAGTAAATGTGTAACAGAAGCATGCCCTTAGAGGCAGAAGAAAGTGTCAGTTTTCAAACCTGTGACAATTGAGGGGAATGAAGAGCAACTGCAAATGAGTACAGGGTTTCCTTTCAGAGCAATGGAAGGGCTATGTGGTGATGGCTTGTCAGTGGATATACTAAAAATCACTGTACACTTAACTTGGCACCCTTTATCATGGAGAATCTGTCAATAAAGCTATTTAAGGAAAATATACAACTACTGAGAATGGGAATTCCAGTACGGTAGTAGACATTATTTTGACATGAAAAAGTTAAGTGCTACCTCAGCCAGATGTCTTAGCAGATAAAGGCTTCTGCCACCAAGCCTGATGACCTGAATTTGAACCCCAGGTCCCACATGATGGAAGGAAAGAGCTTACTCCCACAAATTGCACATAGGCATGATTAAGAAAGCCTAAGGGCAGAGGTATAGGAGTGCATGATGGATGGATGGTGGGAACATAGGTCAGACATCTAACTGGGGAGTCTGATGTTCGGGGTCCAGCTGAATCTTTAAAGAAGAACAAAATGTAGCCAGGTGACGGGGATAAAAATTGGTCTGTATTGAATAAAGGACTTGAGATAAGTTTTAGGAGTGACCTGCAAAGCAAAGGAGGAAGAGGACATTCCGTCTCTAAGGAACCTGGAAAACTCATAGGGGCCAGCAAGATGGCTCAGTGAGTAAAGGCAATTGTCACCAAGCCTGATGACCTGAGTTTAATCTCCAAGATCTACATGGTGGAGAAAACTATTATGTTATCCTCTGGCCCTTAAATATGCATCATAACACCTATTTCTACACACAAGCACACAGGATAAATAAATTAAGAAATTAAAATTGTATGTGCTGACTGGGGGCAGTGGCTCCTGCTTGTAATTCCGGTATTGAGAGGCTAAGGCAGGAGGATCACTATGAATTCAAAACTATTCTTGGCCTGAAGAGTGAGCCCCTGTCTCAAAAAGGGGGGTGGGGTCAATGAGGAAATAGCTCAGTGGTAGAGTGTTTGCCTAACATGCTGGGAGCCCCTGGATCTGAGTCCCCAAACCTACTCCCTGCCAAAAACAAGCGAACTATTACAGTTAAGAATTTGATGGAAGGGACTGGAGAAATGGCTCAGCCATTAAGGGAAACTTGTTAACCCCCCCACACACACACACACAAAATATAAATTTTTAAAGACTCAGTTCAGCCGTCACCTCGAGGCTGCCTTGGAGTCCTCCTTCAAGTGCTTTTTAAAGATTTTTCTGAGTGTTTGCCTGTATGAATGCCTACAGCATGTGTGTGCGGGGCCTGCAAAGGTGAGAAGAGTACATACGATCTCTGGGGACAGGGTTACAGAAGCTGTGAGCCATCACATTGGTGCTGGGAATCACACTTGGCAGCTCTGAGAGCAGCAAGTTCTCTTAAATGCTGAGCCATCTCTCCAGCCCCACGAGCTGAGTCTTGCTACATGATCCCACCAGCGAGACAATGAAGGCCACTCAAGAGAAACAAAAGTGGTAAAGAATGTGTGCTCAGGCTGTGTGTGCATGGTGGCCGCCAGCTCTTCTGGAATTAGGAAGACAAAAGCAAAAGAATGGTGAGTTAGCGGCCAGCATGCTGCCCTCCCATAGAGATGTAGCAACAGAACGAGAATGGAAGATGAGTAGGCTAATTAAGGGCATACTTATTATTAAAATAAACCTGTGGCTGTGCCCGGCCATCCTGCTTGTTCCCCTCAAGGTCATTGAATGCGGAGGGAAACAGAAAGTAAAGAACTTGCCCAAGGTTGCACTAGTCAATAAATGGCAGAGACACAGCTTGAATCCACCCAGTCTAACTTTAGAGAGCAAAACTTCAACCCCCCCCCCCCCACATTGTCCTGCTTTTCTAATGGGACTTAATTCACCCTGGGGGAGCTCTTACAGAGGGATTCTGCCGCAGCTACTTTGTTTCTTCTTTCTCTACAGCGCCCCCTTTCTCTGGTTTTCTCTGTCAAGAGAGCAGATGGAAGGGGCCCATCAGTCAGGAATATTGGTACCTCTTGCAGAGGACACAGGATCTATTCCCAACAGCCACATGGAGCTCACAACCATCTATAACTCCAGTTCTAGGTTATCTTGATGTTTTCTTCTGGCTTCTACAAGGTACCAGGCATACAGATATACATACAGGCAAACAAACATACACAAAATTGAAAATACTTAAAATATTTTTTTTTAAACAGCAGATGGAAAATGAAGATAGCAGTTTGTCTTAAAGGCTGGCCTGGTCTTTTGTTCTTTTCCCCAAATCCTGCAATTCACCTGACTCTGTCCCCAGCCATCTTCTTGGGTTTAGGAGCCAATCATGATTACAGTTGCTACTTACATACCTTTTTAATTCAAACTCCAGGGTTTTATGCCGTGTTGTCAACTTTCCAGTATGGATTGGCAAAAAACAAACAAACAAAAAAAAATCAAGACAATGCCATCTTTGTTTATAAACAAAGTCTTAAATAACTAGGCAAATCACTTCTCTGGCTGATGGCTAGGATTTTTAAAATAAATACATTACTTTTGTTATTGTTGTTGCTGCTGCTGCTGCTATTTTGTTTTGAGACAAAGGGCTTGGTGTCCCGATCCTTCACTCCCCAAGTGCTAGAATTACACACACGGAACTATTTTGTTTGTTGTTTCCCTTTGTAAAACAGGCACCCTTGACGGCAGTTTCTTAACCTGTAAAATGAACTGGTTGAACAACATATTTCTTTTTGAACAACGAAACATTTATTATTCTCGACTTGTTTAGAGTTAGGAAGGAAAACCTTTACTATTTCACTGGAAGGAAATCTGGCGTCTCTAAGCAACCGGGAGCAATTGAGGTCTGGGTCACTCCTGGCAGCGGCAAGGTTGGAGCGAGTACGAAGATGCGGCGGAACCGACTTTGCAGGCGTGGGGGACGTGTTTTGCAACGGACCAGGGAAAGGAAGTGTACTGCGCCAATAAGGGTCTCCTTTCCCGGCGGCAGCCGGTCATTCACGGCTGTACCGCGTAGGTGGATCCTTACCTTTGAGTTTCTGGAGACCCGCAGAAGCGGCCAGAACGTCCAGATCGGCTTGTTCCGGTAACAGGTTAGACAGCTTGACCTTGGCCGCTCCTCTTTGCACTTTGCAGCCACTGGTCGAAGCAGATGATGTCGTGGGCTGCTGTTAACCTGAGACGGACAGCTGCCCGATGCTTTCGTGCGCGATGCCTCGGGGTCCGCGTCGGTCCTTGGTGCGTCTCCCAGCAGGAAAACCCCGGCTGCGGTCCAACTCCACACAGGACGCTGCGTGTCAGCGCGGCGGCCACCGCGGGACACAATAAATGGTCTAAAGTCCGGCACATCAAGGGCCCCAAGGACATGGAAAGGAGTCGAATCTTCACTAAACTCACTCTAAGTATCCGCCTGGCGGTTAAAGGTGAGAACCTGACAGTCCCCACTGCTGATTACAGAGGGCCTTTCGGTGCCAAAGGCCTCACTTGTCCCCCTAAATTGGATTAGGGCCGATTGTTTTCTTTGCATTTTCCAGTTGCTATCGTTGTCCTGCCCATAACTCTTAAAGCATCCGCCTGTTTTCCTTTCCAAAACCTTTCAGAGAAATGACTCCACCCAAGTCGATATAGTTAGGTACTAAACAGGAATAAACCTTAACAGTCAAGTCAGGGCTTGGAGATGTGGCTCAGTGGTTAAAAGCAGCTGCTGCTCTTGCTGAGGACCTGTCTGAGTCCCAACATTCACATGATCACTAACAAGCACCTGAAACTCCTGTTCCAGGGTACTCATGCATCATGCAGGCACGTAAACACAAAAACGAGTCTTTAAAAAAAAAAAAAAAAAAAAAAAAGGACAGGAATGTTTCTTTCTTGAAGGAATAAATTAAGGTTTCTGCAGCCACTGTTACTACAACTGAAGGATGTGGCAGGCGTGCTGAGTCAACTCATTTCTTGCCTGGGCCTCATTTCCCTTGTTGGAGCTCCTGTGAAACTTTCTTGGAAGGTTGGTTTGGAACCCTGTATCTGCTCCGTGTTGCAGCTGTTTTGGTTTTGGTTTCTCTACCCCCCCACCCCCATTTTAGTGTCAGGCACTGGTAGGAATAGAGGGGAAAAAAAATCCTGTGAAAAGTGTGGGTCTGGAGTCAGGAAGATGTGAATTCTTTCATTGACTAGGTTGCTACAGAGACCTTCAACAAGTGGCTTAACTACTGAATTTCAGTTTTCTGTAAAGCAAGGATAATACCCACTTTGAGGTGCCTTACAGCAAACAGAAGGCATTAAGCTACAACTTCTGCCTGATTCTTCCCTTTGCTTCCTCTCCAACCAAAATAACATATTGGTTGATTTAACCAACATGTTATTTTGATCCCAGAGGGGATACTACAAAGAACATCCAGTGTAGCCCCCCCCCCCATTCCCAGAGCATGAATCCAATGTCATGTGAGCATGTCAGAGAGTATGTACTAATAGAGTAAGAGCAAGGATGTTACTATGATTCAACCACTTCATCTGACAAAAGTGGAGTCTTTGCTGGAATTTGGGGGTTGGAGAGGCCGGAAATCACTTATTTTGCTGGAGCCTAGCAAAAATGTTAACTATCCCTAAAGGCAGAGTGAGTTGCGAACTTCTTTTCCAGGCTTGGGTATGTAGCCCCGTGGTAAAGCACAGTGTTTACCATGATAAGGCCTTGGGCTCCATCTCCTGTATTCCCCACCAAAGCAACTTCTTTCCCAAAGTAGTTCTCCTTCCAATGTGAAACAGAAGCTCACTTTTTTGTTTTGTTTTGTTTTTCCCTTTTGGTTTTTCAAAACAGGGTTTCTCAGTATAACAGCCCTGGTTGTCCTGGAACTTAGTTTGTAGACCAGACTGACCTTGAACATACAGAGATGCACCTGTCTCTGCCTCCTGAGTGCTGGGATTAAAGCTACCATGTTACCATACCTGGCCAGAATCTCACTCTTAACTGAGATTCACCTAGCATTCATTATGTAGTGCAGGCTCCTGCCTGAACCTACTGTGTGCTGGGACTAGAGGGGCGCACCACTATGCTTATTTAGTTGAAATATTCTGCATACCTGTGTGTGTGAGTGTGAGTGTGTGTGAGTGTTTGTGCCTTCCTCCTTTGTGTGGATTCTAAGGATGGGCCCCAGGTTGCTAGGCTTATGCAGTAAGCACTTTTACCACCATGTATCTGGCTTTATTTTTTATTTTTTGACTCAGGGTTCTTACTGGCCTAGAGTTGACCATTTAGACAGGTGACTGACTGAGAGTCTCAGGATCTGTTTCTGCCCACCTGGTTCTGGGATTATAAACTGGTGCTGGTATTGTCTTATATGTGGATTCTAGGGATCAGATTCAAATCTTTTGCTTGCAAGGCAAGCACTTTGCACACTGAGCCCTCTTTGTTAGATAATACTTTCTGTTGGAGAGTAATTTGGCATTGTTTGGGGGGTTGGAGAGGCTGAAAATCACTTATTTGTCCATACTAGGATGAGATAGATGTCTTTGATCATTTTTTTCCCTTTATCCAGAGGGAGGCCCCAACCCTGAGCACAACAGCCACCTGGCCAACATCTTAGAGGTGTGTCGAAGCAAGCATATGCCCAAGTCAACTATTGAGTCAGCACTGAAAACAGAGGTGTGTCCTCAGTTTCATGTTATTATTGAGCACAGGTCCATGTTTGGAAAGCCACGGAAAATCCTTAAATTATCAGAGAGAGGGTAGGAACATGGTGGGAATTCTCTATGCTTGGCTTTTGGTTAGAGGAACATGACTGGGAATAGGCTATGTAAACTGTATGGAGACTCATAGAGGGTGGAGCTGCTTTGTCAAGCTTGGAGAAGATAGAGTAGAAAAGGAAGGTAAAACTGGGGAAACCCCTAACGTTAGGTTGGAGAAGGGCTTGTTTGTCTTCTCAGATGTTCATGTCTAAAGTAGAAAAGCCAGTAAAAAGAGAGGGGAAGGACAGAGGCAGTGGGGGAGTGGGAGGGATGCTGGGCTCCAACACTTCTTCCTCTGGGACAGGTAAGGATTTGAAGGTTAATATCTTTTTCTTGTTTTATTTTGAAACAGGGTCTTTTTGTGTAGTCCAGGCTAGCATGGAACTCATGATCCTCCTGCCTCACCCTCACAAGTGCTGAGCCTTCAGAGGTGTCTCATCACTTCCCAGAGTAATGATTGTAATAGCTAGCAGTCATTACATGCAAGACCTCAGTGAATTCCAGAAGTGACCTAAAATGGAAGCTAAGGGACAGAAATGTTTGGTAACTTGACTTAGGTCATGCAGAAAGTGACAGACCTGAATCCAGGTAGCCAGAGTTCAACAGAGTTTGATGTGGGCAGGAAATGAGGTCTAGGGAGTCTGGAAGAAACTGACAACTAGTTGTGAAGTGTGTGAATTTAGCTACAGTGCTGAATTCAGTGGCTCCCATGACAAGCTCTATATACGTGATTTTTCTATAGCAGCCCAGGACTAGGAGCATTGAGAATTCCTAAGTAGGTTTCACATGGAATGGAATGCAGGAAAATGAATAAAGGTAGGAGTGACTGAGGGGGAGGAGGTGGGACCCAGTTAGAGATGGGTGGAGGCAGAACTGGGAAGGGCTACCCAGGAACAAGGGAAACAAACTCCCTTTTAAATAGTATTTCTAGTGATGTCAGAAGTCGATATCATTGTCCTCTCCTTGGAAGACAGAGACAGAAATAAAGACTTGAGAGCCCAAGCTTAAGTAATTCTTGAGAGGTCACACATGGAGCTACTTTTCAGTACCTGTAGTTTGGTGCTGGCATGTGGGTATTGGTTCATTAGGAAACAGAATAATGGAATTTTTTTTTTTTTTTTTAATTTCAGAAAAACAAGGACATTCATTTGCTGTACGGGGTTAGAGGCCCTGGTGGCTCTTCTCTGCTCATTGAGGCATTATCGAGCAGTGGTCCCAAGTGCCATTTGGACATTAAATATATCCTGAATAAGAATGGGTAAGTTTGTGTATGTAGGGAAGAAGGGGACAGAACCTTCAGGGTCCAGTTTTATGCAATGCAAGATGCTGTTGGTCCTCCAGTATTTCAGGTTGTAAGCATGCTTCTTCCTTAATAGAACCTGTTACCGTAAGCTGATTTCCCCTTAATGTCTTCTGATCCCATAGGTGTAAATGAGATCTTCCCCCCATTATTTCCATCTGTAGCCATATGATGCCCCAGTCTTAGAACGTTCTGCAAGGACAGAAGTTTTAATGGGGTAGGAAACAATGAGCAAAGTTGTATCTTGCAGACTCCAGGGGGTGCGGACAATAGGAGATAGGGATGTTCTTGGACAATCCCCTTCCCCAGCATCAGCTTCATCTTCTTCATGAAGAGAGTTGCTGGGTGTGTCTGGGTACTCCAGGGGCCAGATGGGTGAGGGGTAGTGTTAGAATGCAGCATTTAGTGGAGACTGGGCTTCTAGAAGCATCCAGGTGTTGTCTGCTCCCCCTCCTGTCAGGGGAATGATGGCTGAAGGAGCTCGTCGTTCCTTTGACAAAAAAGGAGTGGTTGTGGTTGGAGTAGAGGACAGAGAGAAGAGAGCTGTGAACCTAGAGCGTGCCCTGGAACTGGCAATTGAGGTGGGAGCTGAGGACGTGAAAGAAGCTGAGGGCGAAGAAGAGGATCTTTTTAAAGTGAGTATGTGGCCGGTAAGATGGCTGCTCAGCTTGCTTCCAAGTCTGACAGCCTGAAGCCTTTATGTTTGATGGTTTCCAAGGGGTCCCTAACAGATACCTTAAGGTGTACATCTCTGGGCTTCCTCCTTCCTGTGTGTCAGGATACAGGTAAGGCAAAGAATTCACAATTGCCCAGTGTTATTAAGAGAATACTGGAGGATAGGGCCTATTCTTCCAAGTTGATAAGAAAGATTCTGAGTATTGGAAACTATGATTAAGACCAATGATAAAACAGCACAGTTTGCTCCAATCAGGACTTTGCAAAGTTCTGTCTGGCGTGGGAAATTGTTACTTCCTGGCTTCTCACTTCCTGACTTTCTCTTATCCTTAGTTTATTTGTGATGCCTCTTCACTGCATCAAGTGAGGAAGAAACTGGACTCCCTGGGCCTGTGTTCTGTATCCTGTTCCCTGGAGTTCATCCCCAACTCAAAGGTGCGGCTGGCTGAACCTGACTTGGAGCAGGCTGCTCACCTCATCCAGGCTCTCAGCAACCATGAGGACGTGATTCACGTTTATGACAATATCGAATAGCCAGACTATGCATGTCTCCAGGCTCTTCCCTAGGTTGCACAAACTTCTGCGGCAATTTTGGAGACTGAAATAGGTGAATGCCTATCAGAGACCTGATGCCATGGCTTACAGCCTTAAGAAAACGGACTCCAGCTCTGTTGGGACCATCTGGGATACAAGATAAGACTAGCTAGCTGGTCTGATTCTGATCTCAGGTGAATAGCCTTTGTCAAAATTCTAAGTGTCTTGTGGTATATAGAGTGGAAATTGATCATCAATAATTACAGTAATGCCAGTGGTGGCGGTGGTGCATGCCTTTAATCCCAGCACTCGTGAAGCAGAGGCAAGCAGATCTCTGTGAGTTTAAGGCCAGTCTGGTCTACAGAGTGAATTTCAGAACAGGCTCCAAAGCTGCAGAGAAACCCTGTCTTGGAAAATCTAAAAAAAAAAAAAAAAAAAAAAAAAAAAATTAATAATAGTAATGTAACAACAGTAGTAATTGATTATTCTTGGATGCTGCGTTGGTGGTATGACTCTTGAGTTGTCCCCAGTTTGTGTCCAGTATTTGAACTTCTGGACTAATGTTCAGGTCCACATACTTATTTCTCTACTTTAATACTAAAATTATCTTTTTTTTTTCCTTTTTGCAATAGAAATGTGGCTGTTCTCTGTGTTGAATGCTGGCCTATTGACCTAGCCTTTTCACTTACTCATGCAGCTAGTATTTCTTTACAAGAATCATGCTTTCCCAGAGATCAGGCTGTTCAGTTAATGCCTGGGTCTTGCTCTAAGATGTAGGACCTCTGAGGAAAGACATGGGGCTGAACCTGTGGAGCTGTCCCAGGGTAGTGTGCACTGTGCTCATCGTCTTCTTTTTCTTCATGTGGCTTCTGTCCCCTTTTCTGTCAGCTTAAGGTTTTAGTGCCATAGGAAGTTAGGTGTCAGGGAAGGGACCTCCTCAGGACCTACTGTGACCAACCCCTGTGTGTACCGATAACAGCAGACCTACCAGCAGATGGGATTGTTCTCCCAAAAGGCTAATACTAGCCAAGGTATGAGAACTTGAGAGCCTCAGAAGGCCGCTTTTAGCTCCTTTTCCAGTGATGCCAAATGACAAGAACACTAATAACTAGAGGGGGAAGAGGAACAAAGGGAAGAGAGGTGGCTGATCCAGAGCCTGGGCTTTTGTTCCTTTGGCTCTTCATGGACACTTCTGGGTTTAGCAAGTCTAGCAGTATTGACTGTCTGTGCTATAATGTACCAAGCATAATGAGTCTGGAATGGCTTTTGAATCCAGGTCATCTACCAACTTATAAGCTGTTCAAGTCAGTTCTGAAGGAGCCTTAGGCAAATAGGTGTGGGAAAGACCTAATGCTGTGGAAAGCAAAACAAAACCAAAAAAAACTTTAGCTTCCAGGAAAGGACAGCTGGAAAGCCAGGAAGGAGAAAACAAACCAAAAAGGCAGAACAGCCCAGGATCAGACCACAGTAGATGGATGCTCTTGTGCCTCATAGCAAAGTCATAGTACTAGCCAGAGCTTTTTAATTTTGCTGGAGACAAATCATGTAAGTATCTGAGTTAGCACATCATCAGAATGGGATGGATTGGTGTTGATAACAAGGGCTTAGGGAGATGCCTTAGTGAGTAAAGTGTTGGCCACACAAATGTGGGGACCTGAATTCAAATCCCCCGAAGTCATGTAAAGGCTAGATGCAGCAGTAGTATATAATCCCAGTGTTCCTATGGGAAGGTGGGGGCTGGGACAGGAGACTCCTCTGAAGCTTAAGGGCCAGCTAGCCTGGCAGTCACAGCAGCAAAGAAGACCCTGTCTCAATCAAGGTGGAAGCTGAACACGGACACCCTTCCCACACCAGGCCATGGCACGTGTGTGCCCATGTATACATAAGTGTATACATACTAACATACCGGCATATCTACACATACATGCACAAAAAGACTAAAATAAAATAATTACTTTATGTATAAATTATCTCACACCTAGGGCTGGAGAGATGGCTCTCGTTTTTTTTCCTGACCTTCTCTGGCACTCAGATATACATGGTATACACTCACGTAGACACACGCACATAAATAATAGGAAATGAAAATAACAAATGAAATGAAAAAAGCAAAACAAAACCCTCCAGTTATCTTATACCAAACAAGGGAAAATGAGTCTAATATAGCATCTTATGTTTATAGGTAGCCCTGTTTTAGAAATGTTGAATGTAAATTAAGTTGAAGGAATGTGATCATTTCTAATCTGAGAAATCTGTGTGAAGGAAGCTTGTTCTTATGAACAGGCCTCATCCAACCTAGAAGAGTTTGTTACTATGAATTGTTGTGAAACCAGTTTTCTGGCACCAGGCCCTGCTTGCTGTACTGTATGTACAGTTAGGCCCCTGTGAGGGCAGCTCTGCACTGACCCCTAGCGGTGCCCTTCCTGCTCCTGCTATCAACAAGGAAAAGCAGAGCTTGAACCTTTCCCGCTATTTCTGGATCTAATTGAGACCATAAAATATAAATAAAGATAATCATAGCCATCCAATATAAGTAAGAGCAAGACAATATGTAGTAAAGGCATTTAAGAAGGGAAAACTTAGTTTAGCGATAAATTCTGTCTGATTTTCATCAGTATAAAAGTGAATTTTGTAACAGGGACATCTGTGTTGTGTTTCAGGGGAGAAAGCTTAGAGTTTTCCTTGCTGTATTGTCTTTGAAATTTCACATGGAGATCCTAAAGGGGGTTGCCGAGAATCTCAGAGCAATAATAGAAGTTTGGGAATGGGCGGGCAAAAGTATGGCCCTTCCTATTGCTTGGACCAGTCACTACAAAAAAAAGTATCTTTCTAAGGATACTTTGTATCAAGCTGCCTATGGTGACCCACACCTGTAAAGCCAGCACTTGGAAGGCAGAGGTGGGAAGATTGCTGAGGGGTTAAGGCTACTTAGGTTCCAGGCCAGACTAGGCTGCATACTAAGACCTTGCTTGCCTCAAGAAAGCAAACAAAAGAATATTTAACATCAAAAAATGTTACCATATAATATTATATAAAGATTCAAAATTGCATGCATGTTGGGCTAGAGGGTAGCTCAGTAGTAGAGCATGTGCTTAGCATGTGTGAGGTCCCTGAGTTCAATCTCTGGCATTAAAAAAGAAGCATATGAACTAGTATAGTACAACTCAAATTCTGAAATATTAATTTAACAATACTATGTTTGCTAGGTATTTTCTTTTTTTGTCCCCTTTGAAACAGGGTCTCATGTAATCTAAGTTATCCTAAAATTTGCTATGTGGCCGAAGCTGGCTTTGAACTCCTGATCCTCCTTCTATCTCTCAAGAGCTTATATGAAGTCTAGGTTTTATTGTTTATTTATGGTTAGGAGGAGATATGTCAGAATTTCAGAAATGAGAATCTTAGAGTTGTGATGTTATTACTGATTTTTTGTTGTTGTTGTTTTATTCTGGAGTTTTGTTTTATTTTAGTTAGTGAGACAGAGCCTTACTCTATAGCCCAGCCAAGTCTTAAGCTCACTATGCAGGCCTTGAACTCATAGCATTCCCCTGTTTCACCCTGTCTAGTACTGAGGTTGCTACAGGCACAAGTCAATATGCCTGCTATTATTACTGAATTTTCCTTTCTATATTCATGTTACCCTTTTTTGTAAATATTTTTTGAGACTTCATGTGTATTGGTGTTTTGCCAGCATGTAGAGAGTATCGGTTCCTCTTGGAACAGGAGCTAGAGGCAAGTGTTAACTCCCATGTGGGTGCTGGGGACTGAACCCAGGGCTTCTGGAAGAGCAGTCAGTGCTCTTAACCACCAAACCATCTCTCCAGCCTCCATGTTACTATTTTTATTGGGAACTTTTGTTTGTTTTTCAGTGCTAGAGGTCCAACCCAGGGCCTCACACTTAGTAGTACTGCTGAATATATCCCTGACCCAAGGGGAAACAAATTAAACCAATACACAAATAGGTGCTGGGTGTGGTCCTGTATAGCAGTTACCCTAACACTAGAGAGTCTAAGACAGGAGGATTTGGAATTTGAGGTTAGAAAACAAAACTAAAAACTAAAGCTAAAGGCAAACACCAAAATTCTACTCAGATTATTGCCCTACTAGGAGATGGACAGCATCTGGAAGTCTGAGCTTAACAGTTTTTTGTTTGTTTGTTTGTTTTGTTTTTTTTAAAAACAAAACCAGGGTTTCCTTGTATATCTCTAATTATGTAGAACATGTAAGGCTTGAACTTCCTGCCTCTGCCTCTTTAGTGCTGATTACAGGTGTGAGCCAGCACACCTGGCTCTGACACACCTTTACCTTTACGCCTGAAAAATGGGCCTGGGATGACTTATATTGTCTTATCTTTGATTATTGTTTTAGTAATACAAAGTTATTCATTGCCTTGAAGTCACACTAGGGTTATGTTCAGGTGTCCTTCTGGTGAGCTGGAGGTATTTGTGAGAGGCTCTATTCACAGCTCAATTTTGACTTGTATGTGTGTGTGTTAGGACTGAGCCTAAGACCTTGCTAAGCAAAGGCTATGAGACCAACAGGCTATATCTCTAGCCCCATTTTTACTTTTTTTTTTTTTTTTTTTTTTTTTTTTTGAGACAAGATTTCTCTGTGTAACAGCTCTGGCTGTCCTGGAACTCACTCTGTAGACCAGGCAAGCCTCGAACTCAGGAGATCCACCTGCCTCTGCCTCCCGAGTATAAGGATTAAAGGCTGTGCCACCACCCGGCTTACATCGACTCTTACAAGAAGTACTGCTGTGGGGCTGTGGATGTAGTTCAGACAATAGCATGCACAAAGTCCCAGGTGTGGTCCCTAGCATTATGCGAACTGGGCATGGTAGAGCACACCTATAATTTTAGCGCTCGCAGTTCTTGTGTTTAACTACTACTCTTATGCAAGAGGCCCTGGTGTACTTAGAGGAACAGTGAAGGCTCTGGTTCTAATCAAGTTTGGAAATTCTACAATGCTGTTGAGTTATTATTTTTAAAGTCTGTGTGTACATGTGTGCCCAATAGCCAAAGGACAACTTTCTCCATCACCCTCAGGAACTCTGCCTATCTTTGAGACAGGACCTCTCTGCCTGGAGAGATCATTTAGGTCAGACTGGCTGCTGAGTGAGCTCCAGGGGCCCTCTTGTCAGCCTTCTCAATGCTAGGTTATGAGGCACACCGCCATGCCTGGCATTTTTGCATGGGTTCTGGTGATTAAACTCAGGTTCTTGCACTCTCAAGGCAAGCACTTTACTGACTGACCTTTCTCCCCAGCCCAAGTTATTTTTCTTTGAATTTTACAGCAAAGCTTCAAACTCCATTTGAATTCTTATGGACTGCTCTGGAGATGTCCTATGGAAAGAGTCAGTGGACCTGGCAGAAGTGAATGCTGTGATATATACCAAGCTAGTTTCCACTTCATTCTGTGATCAGCCACTGAATAGGGTAGCGTCCTTAACTTTTTTCTTTCTTGAATCTTTTGCTTATTACAAAAGGGTTTTATTTATTTTAAAATTTTATTTTGCTTTGTGTGTGTATGGTGTGTGTGGGTGTCTATGGAGACTAGAAGAGGGTATCATATTCAATAGAAGGAGTTACAGGCAGTTGTAAGCATGCCCAGTGTGGGTGCTGGTCCTTTACAACAGCAGCAAATACTCTCTATCTCCCTACTTTTTTTTTTTTTTTTAAGTTAGTGTATGCATATAATCCTAGCATTAGGAAAACTGAGGCAGGAGGATACCCTGAATTTGAAGCCTACCTAGGAGAGGGAACAAATTCTGACTCTGACAGTCTTGAACAAAAACTTAGCCTCTTGTAAAGTGGGGGTGTTAATAGTACCTAACTTATAGGGATGCTTAACATGTTAAGTACTTAAAATGTTTCTTGGCAATAGTAAGTGTTCAGTGCAGCAGAGATGGCTCAGTGTGTGCACTGAAAGTGAGAGGACCTGAGCTTGAATATCCAGAACCCAGGTGAAACCCTATGTGGTAGTGCCCACATCTGAAATCCCAGTGCTCCTATGGGGAGATGGGAGAGAGAGACAGGCGAATCCCTAGATGCTTGTGGCCAGCTAGCAGGGACTGCACAGCAGTAAGCAACAAAGAGATCCTGCTTCAATCAAGGTGAAATCAAGGCCATCCTCTAATCTCTACAGGCATGTATATGTATACTGAAACTGCCCACCCCCATACACATATACACACACAAGATAGAACACCTCTGGCTTCCTCAGGCTCCTGAATTCATATAACACTGGCCCTTATAATACAAGTATTTAAAAATAATAAAAACAAATCTTTCAAAAATATAGTCACCCTTTATACTTTAGAACCTGGTTTAACCACCACCACTGCTACCACACACATGTCACAGAGTATCTTGGATATTTTTGGTATTTGTAGAGGAAAGCTTTTTTATTCTTGTTTGTGCGTACATACTATCTTATTATATTACTATGCCATAATTTAACTATTATCCCCATCAGCGGCTATTTGGATTTCTACTTAGAAGAGAGGCTACAATGAATTTTCTTTACTTTTGCTTACTTACAAAGTACTGTTTGGGATAAGTTTATACCAATGTGGTTTTAAAATGAATACTATTTTTTTCTTCTTTTTTGTGTTTTCTGACAAGGTTTCTCTGTGCAACAGCCCTGTTGTAGACCTCGAACTCACAGAGATCTGCCTGCCTCTGTCTCCCAAATGCTGGGATTAAAGGCATGCACCACCACCTCCTGGCTACTATTTTTATTTAAAAGAAGATGCCAATAATTTTTTAGAAATCATGATTGAGGGAATCTCCTATGAGGTATGAATATTATTCCTTGATGACATAGTAAACTAACTGGTTCAACAGGTAATCTAAAAGGTACCCTGCTTTATCTCTGAATTAAAATAATTTTTATAAATCAGGTGATAGGTTTACTGGTATTTTTCTTTTGTAAATCAAATCCATTGATCTTTCCCCTAAGATAATTAAGTCATTGTTTTTATTATTCCTCCTGTGTCCCATTGTCACCATGTTCTTGAAAGAAAAGAATGAAAGTGTGCAGCTAGTGTGTAATCGGGTCCAGATAAGGCCAGCACTTTCTTAGGTCCTGGCACTAGGAGTGAGTGTGGCTCACCCAGAGACCAGCCAGTATAAAACTTTACCCAGTAAGAATAAAACCAGGAGGCAGCCTTTAAATGGCATGGCTCAGCTGGAAACCCTCACACAGTAGTAATGAAGAGAGAGGAGAGAAGGCAACCCACAGAGGGGAGATAAAATAAAAAAGCTAAGCATAATTATGGAAATTACATTCTCCTGAGGAGTGGACCTTGCTTTGTACACTAGAGGCTGGCCTTCAGCTTGAGGCAATCTTCCTGCCTTTGCCTCCTGAGTGCTAGGATTACAGGCACATATGCACCACCACACCCAACAGGTATTTTGAATATACTATTAAAAATAGTTGGCATGTCAGTTTGAACGACAGATGCTTTTTTGCTCACTTGTTGCCCCCCACTCCCAGTGCTAAGGGAGCAAACCCAGGGTCTTGCACATGCTGGGTGAGCCCTTTACCACCGACCCTCCACCCCTACCTGACAGCTTCTGTTTCTCTGCTTATTTTGCAAAATGCAGTTACATTAGAGCAGATTAAGTGGTTGGACGAAGAAAGTCCCAGGTACTCTAGGAGCACATTATAGCCCTGTTGAGAGGTTGAAGGCTTCCTCAAGGAGTGATAGAGAACTGAGGGCTTCACTGAAGGAATAAGAGTGGGAGCAGAAATAGAGAACATTCGATACGGAGAACGTAGTACTCATAGCACTATGTGGGGAGGGACAGGGGATAGATTGAAAAGTTGAGGTTTATTTGAGGAATTATTGGTATGTGTGTGTGCGCCTGGATGTATGTATGTCGATGGCATGCACGCACGCATGGTGTTTGTGGCTTTTAGAGGAGCTCTGATCCTCTGGAGCAGGGTCAGTTGTGAGCTGAGCAATGTGGGTGCTGGTAACTGCACTTGGGTTTTCTTCAAGAGCAGCAAGCACTCTTTACTGCCGAACCATCTCACCAGCCCCTATTTGGTTCATCTTAAAATTGATGGGTTATGTTTGTAAATAGGGTTTGCTGGGATCTTGTGTCTGATAGTAAGATTGCTGAGTGGCGTGAGTACACTTTAAGAGATTGTGGTGGTTTGAGCCGTTTTAGTGGGGCTAGGATGGAAGAGAGGCAAATGGATTGGAAGCCTGGCTAACACTGGTGGCTGGGGAAGGAAAATAGAGAGGAAGAGAAGATGAAGAGAGGAAATAGGGGACAATGAATTTGAGACGTCTGTAGGATACTTAAGAGCAGCACCTCTGGAGCTTGGAACAGAGCCCTGCCTGAGCTGAGCTGGAATCCTTGGCACACAAGGTAACTGCAGCTGGAAATATTGAACTTTAGTGGCTGAGGGACAAGCAGTGAAAATGAGATTCACAAGGAAGGCATCTGGAGGAAAGGTAGAAGAAGCTTATTTAGCTCAGTTACAAGAGACATTAAGTGACATCACTAGATAGATACATGGCATCTAGTAAATAGTTAATGTTTTCCTCTACTTTTCCTAATCAGAAAAAAAAAAGATTATTGTAGTTAAGGAACATTGAGTAAACTGGGGACTTAAGTGAGAACATGAGACTTGAAAGATTGTTAAAGACAAACGAGTTGGGCAAGGTGACAAGCAGATCTCTATGAGTTTCAGACAAGACCAGTCTACATGGCAGTTCCAGGGCACCCTAAGTTACATAGAAAGACTCTGTCTCAAACAACGGGGGGGGGGGAGGGGAAGGAGATTGATGACAAGAGAGTTAATTAATATTCGGGTGGGATGAAGAAAAAGGATTGTCTAAAACACTCTAGGCAGATGACAGCTGAAAATGGCATCTGAAGACTACTCTAGAACAGTGTTCTGGGAAAGGAAACACACATTAATTGGTGAGTTGGAATCTAAAGACTAGGTGTATAAATTGTTGAGATAATGAAGGTTGGAGAAATTAATCACAATGCTCTTTTGAAAGATCACACAGCCAGTTCAATTGTTTTGAGACAATATTTAGTGGCACAGGAAACACTTACAAAAGTGTAAGCACACCACAAAACAATATGAAGTTTTTTTTTTTGTTTTGTTTTTTGTTTTTTTTTTTTTTTTTGTCAAACGTTTATCTAGGTAGGAAATAGATAAAACTATTTCCAGGGTAGAGATTTTCTCTCTATTTTCCTGCACTTTTCTTTTTAAAATGCGTCTCGCTTTTATAATTCTAAGAGTAAAACTGTATTCCAAAAGCAACTCTAGCAGAACTCAGAATGTGGGGAGTCACATTGCAGCACTACCCTAGCCTTTGCGGATGGGGGAATCAGGCCCCATGGGTGTAGGCTCGAAGGTCTGAGACGCAAGGGAATGAAAGAAGTGGCGAGACCGCCATCCTGCCCGCAAAAGCTGCATCTAGAACCCCGGGCTGCCCAGGGGATCCTGAAGATCCAGGGGATCCCAGGGGAGCCTGAAAGCAGAGCCAAACCTTCCCCCACCCATTCCGCGGCAGGAGCCTCGCATCAGCAGGGGCGGGACACCTAAGGGCCGCGAGGTCGCGGACAACCGACAACGGGAGGGCCGAACGCTGCCGTTTTCTGAGGGTCTCTGCCTCTACAGAAAACGCCTTTACTAAACCCAGGACCAGAGCATCCGTCAAGGGGAACAGCGCCAGCCCGCGCGTTCGCCCAGGGTTCCGCGGCTGAGTAGAGGTGGGGCTGTGGGCGGAGCCTGAAGCCGGAGCTGTGATTGGAGCAGCCCACACCTTCAGCAAGAGAGGCCGAGGGCGCCAGCTAGCGATGCACCGGGGCGGGTCTCAACGCTCTCTCCGTGATTGGCTAGGAGCGAGAGGACAGGCGCAGTCTCGGTGATTGGCAGGCTCTAGCCAGCCCTCGGAAATCGCCTTGGCTTCGCCCATTGGCATCCTGTGAGAGTAGGCGGGATTGATCCGTCGTGATTAGCTGGCGGCTGAGAGTGAGGGCGTTGGGAGCGAGCGGGAGGAGGGGCGGGAGGAGCCGACTTCCTCCTGGCTATTGGCTGGTAGTGTGAGTGGGGGCGGTGCCGAGGCCCAGCGGCTGCCTGAGATTGGCGGATGCTGGCATGAGTGACGGACAGCGAGGCTAGCTGCGCGCCCAGCGGTTTGTTTTTCGGAGCATTCCTGAGGTGGAGAACAGTGGCCGGACGGAGCGACTTCTGGACTTCGGGACTGGCAGGCGGGCGGGCCGAGTGGCGCCGCCGAGGCCGGGCTGGGCCGAGCCTGGGAGCGCCGGGGATGTAGCGGGCCACCCTGCTCATGCCACAGCGCCCGGCCGCGGCCGGAGCCGGAGCCTGGGGAGGCGGCGGGGGCCCCGAGCGCAGCCAGCGCAGCCCGCGGCCCCCGTGCGGAGCCAGGCCCGCTGCCGTCCCCGCCGCCTGCTCCCCCGGCATGCAGCCCAGGCTGCGGAGGTGACACTTCTGGGCTGTAGCCGCCGCCGCCGCCGCCATCGCCACCATGGGTGAGTATCGCCACCGCCCCGGCCTGTGCCCGCGCTGCTTCGCGACGCTCCGCCCCGGGCCGAGGGAGGAGGACCCTGGGCCGCCGCCTGACAGGCATGCACAGCCCGCCGGGCCCGGGGCAGAGGACCGCGGAGCGCGGAGCGCTCGCCTGTTCGTGGCGCCGCTACCCGGGCGGCGGTTCTGGCTACTAGGACTATTCGGGGGTGCCCCGCAGGCCAAGCCCACACGACAGCTCTTTTTCTGGGCATGCGGCCGGCACATCCCGGGGAGGGGTCTGCGGGACCAAGGCCCGTGCTCGGCGGGGCCGCCCACTCCGGTCCCCAGCGAGCTGGCCCGCGAGCTTGAGGGTGGGGGAGCCGGAGCTCAGTGTGGGGCCGGGGCTGGAGCCTGGTGCAGGCCCAGCTGCTGTTGTGTCTTTTCCTTGATTTGCTTTTTTTTTTTTTTTTTTTCCTGCCTGTGTCATTTCCTTCCCTTTGCTCACACAGGCTGGCCTGTGAGTTCCCGGGGCTTTGCTCTCGAGCTCCGTGCGCTCCCCTGCGCAGGGGGGAGGGTATGCGGGACTGCGAAGCGATTCGGCGCGGATCCCTGTTAGCAAAAGCGAGCTTGGGAAATTGCGATGTGTGAGCCTCGCAGATTACTGGAAGTTGAGGATGATGGGTGCTGTGGGTTATAGCTCAAACCCTACTTTTGGAAAAATCCCGCTGCTGTTATTTTTATCCTGCTCTATCCCTGCAACTATGTAACTTTTGAGAGAGGCATTTGCTACACAAAAGAATCACTATGAAATCATTTCCTTTTTGTCAGTATTTGCAGTTCAACTGTGAAGATGTAATCTAAGAAAATCTCTTAATGTCTTCCACACAATATTTGAACTGAATTATATTCGCATACTTTTGGTACTTTACTAAAAGTCTTGGACTTAGCTAATGAGCATGTGACATTTTAAATAAACTTTGCTTCTCCAGTTGGGGCAGGTATTGTGATGCTCTTGTTCCTAGTCTCAGTCAGGTTTTGCAAAATACTTAGTATTGTCCTAAGTAAGAAAGGGGTAAAATTTAGTGAAAGTCTCCTTTGCAGTAATATTCATTGCTTCTATGAAGCGATCCATATGAAAATGGAATGTTAATGTTTGCTTTGCCCTGTTGCAATGTCAAGTCATTTTTGTAGGAGGTTAAGTGGTGCAGTGGCACATTTCGCCAGATACTCATTTTGTGGTCGATCTCTTTACTCTGATTTTGAATGAATTGCTGTTTTGGTTTTGTTGTTTTTTCCAGCGTGGCCCCTCATACAGTATGTTAAGGGTTTGTTAATTTGCTGGATTTTCTGTTCCCTTTCCATGTTACATAGTTCAGGATTCTCATCTGAGAATTAAACACAAAAGGAACTCAGTAAGGTTTCACAAATAGATAAATACTTATAATACATATATTCCAATAAATATTTATGGAACACTTATTATAAATGGGGCAGAGGACTCTTTTTGTCTTTATGGGCTTCAAACATTTATCTTCTGCTACAGGATCTAAGCTAAATTTTTGAATTAGGGATTTATATTGTGGTAGTCTTAGGTTTTCCTTCTTACCCTGTGGGTGAGCCTTAAGCTCCAAAGATGAGTGAGAGATCCCTGAGGGCCACAGCCCTCACCTGTGGCACTTTGTTTGCAAAACCAGTGTGAGTGTCCAGATAATGAGGGCCACATCTCATCTGACATGAAAATAGATGAGAGCCTGTTTTCACATTTGAAAATGTTTTCAACGGTGTTAAAATATATGGGGGAGGGGGAGGAAACTGTGGGTGAAATCCCAAAGAAAAGAGAATAGGGTATTTGGCGTCTTCTCATTTGATCCCATGCCACTTTTAATCTTTTTTTCTTTCTTTCTTTTCCCAGTGCCAGGCACCAAACCCTTGCCTTATTTGTGAATGATAGGCAAACACTATCATTGAGCTATGTCCATGCTCTCTCTCCAAATTGTTTTCTTTCTCTCTCTCTCTCTCTCTCTCTCTCTTTTTCCTTAGACATGGTCTCCCCATGTAGCCCTAGCTACCTTGCAACATGCTGTGTAGACCAGGCTGTTTTTTGAACTTGTAGTAACCCTTCTGCCTCTGCTTCCCCAGAACATAGTATACAAACAAACTCAAGTGCTTAACAAAAGAGATTTCTTAGTATTTCATAACATTTAAACTCCAGATCACTGACTAAAGAACTAAAACTAATTTGCATCTCTGCCCTGCAGGTACTTTGATTTATAGTCATATTTTCCTGAGCAGTTCTATGCTCCAGACTCAAGCCTGTTTGACAACTTGACTTATTAATGACAACAGGTCAGATTTTATATTGTCTGTTAGCCCCAGCATACATCTAGTGGAAACTAGAAACTACACTTAACGTTGTAAATAATAGGAAATATTTTTCTGTTTTTTTTTTTTTTTTTTTTTTTTTTTTTGCTTTGATACTATGTGATTACTGAAATTGGAATGGACTTTTTTTTTCTTGGACATACTAGAATTTCTTTCAATAATTATATTAACACTTAGTAATTCCTGTGACTTACTTGCTAGTGTTTTGTTGTTGTTGTTTTTTTTTTGTTTGTTTGTTTTTTTTTTTTTTTGCTCTTTTTCTAAATGTAATCTGAAGCTTAGGGAAACATTAACATGGGATTTGGAAATATTACAAGAATCTGGGGAACTAAATACAGGATTAAAGATGGCTGGTTCTGGGCTAACAACTTGGTTTAGAGTTGTAATAATTATAACTTAAAGAACTACTATGTCTGTGTTTCTAGGGTTCCAAGGTTTGGAAATGCCAAAAACAGTCTCATTTGGCTAGAATCTAACCACCTATGTAGATTTTGTTTTTGTTCTTTTTTTTAAAGATTTATTCTTATTTAAGTGTATGTGCTTGTGTGACTGTCAAAAGAAAGTATTAGATCCAATGAAACTGGGGTTTCAGGAGGTTGTGAGCAGCCTGATGAGAAAGCTGAGCTCAGGTGCCCTATAAGAGCAAGCAGCAAGAGCTCTTAACCACTGAATAATCTCTCGAGTCCCTTAGGAGCTGAGGCCAGCCCTACAAGACTCATGAGTAGAATTTTGATATATTTTTTAAATTAATTTTTTAATGTGTAATTTGTTTTGCCTACACACACACACCTGTGTATCACCTGTGTGCCTGGTGGCCACAGAGGCAGGAAGGGGCTGCCTCTGGAACTGGAGTAACAGTTGTGAGCTGCCATGTGGGTGCATGGAATTGTGCCTCGGCCCTCTAGAAAAACAGCTAGGGCTCTTAACCACTGAGCCATCTCTCCCCCCAGATTTTTGATATTTTTAAAATGACTGTAGGGGCAGGAAAAATAGCTTAGTAAGTAAGAGTGCTTGCCCTGCTAGCATAAAGACCTGAGTATGAATCCTTAGTGTCCATGAAAGAATGGCTTTAATCAGTAAGCCCAACAGGTGGATCTTGAGTTTCCTGCCTGGCTGGCCAGCCTAGCACAAATGGCGCACTTCACTTCCAGTTCAGCAAGAGACCCCATTTTAAGACACAAAGGTGGAGACCCCTGAAGTTTTGCTCTGCTTCCCACATACACATGCACAGGTGCACCTTCCACCACTCACATGCGTATGCACAAACATACACACAAAATTAAAGGTAAATGAATAAAGAAAAATAAAAATGATAGCTGGTGCTAGGTCTAATGGTACATGTCCGCATTTCAGCACTTGGGAGGCAAAGGTGGGAGGATCGGGAGTTTAAGACCATCCTTGCTGCATAGCAAATTTGAAGCCTGCTTGGGCTGCTTGAGACTGACTCAAAACCAAAACAAAATAAAATACAATTGGTTTTAGATTTTTTTTTTTTTCTTCCAAGACATGGTTTCTCTGTGTAGCCTTGTCTGTGGTTTTGAATTTTGAAAAAAGATTTTAGGCATATGTAAAAAGTAAATTTGCATTCAATTAAACATTACTTAGAAAAATACAGAATGCAAGTCTTCCTGGTTTTTGTTTTTTTAATAAGTTGTCCACTTAGTCTTTGCCCATTTGACAAGTACATCCCATGTTCAAATATAGTATTAAGCCCTGGACCTGCATTATTCTGTTCCAAGAGATTACAGGGAAGTAAAGTGAAGCAGAAATACGGAAACAAATTCAGATTGAATATTCTTTATCTAAAGTGCTTAGGATCAGGGGTAAGGATTTAGCTTAGTGGTAGAGTGCCCTACCTAGCGGGTATGAGACCCTGAAGATTTTTTTCATATGCCAAAGTACTGAATATCAGAAATGTTTCAGATTTTGTAATTACATTTTTTTATTAGATTGAGTTGTTTTATTTGTGTTTTTTCTGCATGTGTACCACATGCATTATTGGTGCTTTCAGGGGTCAAAAGAGGGTATCAGATCCTGTGGTGACATATTGTTTATGATCTAATAAAGCTTTCCTGAAGATCATAATGCAGAGCTAGCTACAGCCATAGAGGCCAGGTAGTGGTGGTATACATCTTTAATCCTAGCAACCACACTAGTTAGCCACAGAGGCTGGGCAGTGGTGACGCCTTTAATCCCAGCACTAGAGACATATATAAGACAGGAGCTCAGGGTCTCATTCAGGTATTCAGTATTCAGTCTCAGTGAGTCTGAGGAGCAGCTCAGTGGAGATGCAGTCTGAGACCAGGATTGTCCTTTCAGTCTGAGGTAGAGGTAAGAGCTAGTGGCTGGCTAGTGTTTTTCTTGTCTTCAGTTTTAACCCCAGTATCAGTCTGTGGGTTTTTATTATTCGTACTACAAAATCCCCTGGAACTAGAGTTACAGATGGTTTTAGCAAACCTGTGGGTACTGGCAATTGAACCCAGGTCCTCTGTGACAGTAACAAGTGCTCCTAACTACTTAGCAATCTTACTAGCAAATCCCCCCCACACACACACACACACAACTTTGATAAGGGAATACTTCCCTAGACCTTACTGGTTGAATATCCTTCAGGTTAAGTATGCTCAACCAGTAAGTGATT